AGTCTTATCTCCCCCTCCTTCCCTTGTTTGTGCATGTGATGGGGGAATGCTGCCGTGGGGAGATGAAATATCATGTGATCAGCAGCAGAATCCCTCCTCCTCTTTCTTCTCATCCTGCGCTCATCTTTGTCTGCAGATCGAAGCGAACAAGTGTGCGACTGCTTGTACAGAGAATGTCAGAGCACCCACCCTTCCTTAAAATAGGCTGTGCGGAGAGAGGCCTCAAAATAGATCTCCCCCCCCCATTAATTCGGTCTCTGAAATATTTATGAGCCACAGCCACCTTTTAAGCACTACTCCCTATCACTATGGTTTTACAACCATAAACACATCTTCGTGCTCATCATGGAGATTTCCACAATCTGTCTGACATATTATGAATTAATTCCAGTCTTTTCTCTGTACATGGACATACTCTGTTTATAAACCTCCAATGATGGGGTAAAAAACATTTACAGCCCTGGTGGTTGTCTTTCTTTTCTATGCTTTTTTTTTCTTTCTTGCATGCAGGGTCTTTGTTCTACAGTATTTTAGCAGCACAGTTGCATTTTTCTTTTTAAGTTTTAAAGTTAATAAATTCCGCTTTCTTTCTTTTTTCTTTCATGTTCAGCTAGAACAATAGTATTCTTAATGCTGCCTCTTAACTGGCAGACCCAGCCATTTACATGATAGTGGATTTTCTCAGAGTGGTGGTTACTGTTTCAGCATGATCATTAGTTTTCTTGGCAGCTACCCTTATCTAGGGTGACAGCATCACAACAACACGTTGTGTGTGAACACAGCAGTGTAGCTTAAAGAACTATATTGGTGAAGCAGTTGTAGTAAGTGTGTATTTTTGTAAGTATTGTGTGTGAGAGTCTGAGTGCTGATGTACATCTGCTCTTAATGAGTGTTTATGTACATTTGGTATTAATTCAGTAGTGTATGTGTGTTTTGTTTCTATGCTATTTGCTGTCTCAGTGGAAAGACGATGCATTTTTAAGTGCATGCATGATTGTTTCATCTGTGTTAATATGTTTAACATGTTTATGCAAGTATGTATGTCCTCTATGGGAATGGTGTCTACAGTCTTTGGGCCTTTTCACACCTGGAAATACAAACTAGGTTCATATTTTGTTAAACTGATCTGGTTAGTATGTGAATGGAGTCTAAAATAGTTTACGTACCACGTGGACTTGATACTGATTTGATGGGGATGTGTCTGATATACACATGCATACATACCGGCCTCACTTTCTTTATTTTCAGATGGCATTGCTCTGTCACAATATACCTGAAAGGTGTCTGCATTTTCTTGAGGTTTTAACCCTTCAAGTCCCTTGATATTTAAAAACAGTCTCGGCCTCTCTCTAACCCAGGGATGGGCAACTCCAGGCCTCGAGGGCCGGTGTCCCTGCAGGATTTAGATGTGTCCTTGAACCAACACAGCTGATTTAAATGGCTAAATTAGCTCCTCAACATGTCCTGAAGTTCTCCAGAGGCCTGGTAACGAACTAATCACTTGATTCAGGTGTGTTGACCCAAGGTGAGATCTAAAACCTGCAGGACACCGGCCCTCGAGGCCTGGAATTGCCCACCCCTGATGTAGCCTCTACCACAGAGTGTTTTAGTTTTCACAGTAGAAACAAACAGAACTCGTTCTGGACCGAAGCCACCTCTTTTTGTCAGGTTAAGTTTGACTGTTTGGTCTGGACCCAGGCCCATATGTCCATAAGTTTTAACTACAGTGATTTTGGTTGGTATCAAACAAAATTTAAAAAGTCTAGACCAAACATGGTAGGTGTGAAAGCACCCTTAGATGGTTAATGTGTGCTGAGCTCTTGGAAATCTGTCTTGTCTAGTGTCTTTGTAATATCCTCTTACATCCTAGTGTTTGGAGCATCTTTTGCATGTATGTTTTCCTTTCTGGATGGGTTTGTGTGAGTGTGTGTGTGTGTGTGGGGGGTTGTATTTTTTAAATTTGAGACATTATTGTTTGGTATGTTGCCTGAGTTTGTATTGTGGTATACTTAACCAGCAAATATACATCTGTGTTGAATGCTCCATCTTTAAAACCTCTTAAACTGTGTGTACTCTCTGGCTATTGGTGACCTTACTCTGCTCTTCTGTTTCTGCTCCCCCTATCCTTTTCTGTCTTTAACTGTCTTTATTCTGCTTCCACCTACACACCTCTGCTTCAAACTCTCTTATATGCACACCTTTTTTTCTTTTCTTTTTTTTCTTCCTTTTTTAAAATCTCCTCCTTTTAACCCTATACTTTTTTGTCTTTCTCTTCTGGCTGTGCTTTCTGTAATTTGCACATTCTCACTTACCTTTCAACTCTTCCTGCTATAACACCTCTTCTACTTCATCACTACTTCATTCCCATTTTATTTCCATCATGTCATCTCTTATCTTTCTTTTTTTTTCTCTTCCTGTTCTGTCTTTTCTCAGAAACCGCGAGAGCTCCAGCCGGGCATCAAGCAGCCGTCAAAGCAGCACGGACAGTGACATGAAGTGCCTGGAGCCAAGGCCATGGAGCAGCACCGACTCAGACAGCTCTAACCGCACTCTCCGGCCACCCGTCACTAAGGCCAGCAGCTTCTCTGGTATCTCCATCCTTACCAGGGGGGATAGCCTTGGCAGCAACAAAGGCTCGCAAGGGAGCTGCAAAGGCTCTCGCTCTGGTAAGGTTTGGAGAAAAGTGGAGAAGAAGCATTTAGGTAGTATGCCATTAGCTTGTTTTATTTTACTTGCCTTAAATGAGTAGTACAACACGGAGAAATGGATTATCTAGTCATGTAAGCTGTTTTTTGTATAAAATATAATGAAAAATTATGATAGAACTGACCGAACGTCATTGTAGTTTAAGAATTAGCTGTGTAGCATAAATTGAATTCAAGAAGCTCCCTTATGTCTATATTCCACATCCCATAAAATTCTCTCAGGTCGGCCTTCTTAGCGAGATTTTATGGTAATGGATAGTGCCTT